TTCCCTCTTGTAGCTCAGGCTGGAGTGCAGTGGCACGATCTTGGCTCACTGAAACCTCTGCCTCCTGAGTTAAAGGGATTCTCCTGCCTCAGCCTCAAGAGTAGCTGGGATTACAGGCACACACCACCACACCTGGCTAATTTTGTATTTTTAGTAGAGACAGGTTTTCTCCATGTTGGTCAGGCTGGTCTTGAATGCCTGACCTCAGGTGATTCACCAGGCTTGGCTTCCCAAAGTGCTGGGATTACAGGCATGAGCCATAACGCCCAGCCCATGCTCATTTTTTTCTTTAGCGTTCCTTCTACTTTGTTTCACATGTGTGCATGTGTTTACATTAAAATAATACAGATTAAATCTGATTTTCTTTCCACATAACACTTTTTCGTGTTTCTCAAATTATTACTTTACATATTTGATATCCTATACTGAGGAATCAGTTTTACTTTTTTTTTTTTTTTTCATTTTTGGAAACAGGGTCTTGCTCCTTTGCCCAGGCTAAAATGCAGTAGTACCATCTCAGCTCACTGCAACCTCCTCCCAAGCTCAAGTGATTCTCCCACCTCAGCCTCCTGAGTAGCTGGGACTGTAGGAACGTGCCACCATGCCTGGCTAATTTTTGTACTTTTTGTGAGACTAGATCTTGCCATGTTGCCCAGGCTGGTATTAAATCCTGGGCTCAAGCAATGCTGCCGTCCTGGCCTCCCAGAGTGCTGGGATTACAGATGTGCACCACCACACCCGGCCAGTTTTACTTTTTAATGACAGTTGTTTCATCCTGTAAAATGTTTGCTTTTTGAATATTAGATCGTTCTTTTATATTAATTCTAGAATTGGACTACTATTTGATTTGTATACTTTCCATTATTTGACAATGATTTAAGATTCTGAGTGATGGCCAGCTGTGGTGGCTCAGACCTGTCATGCCAGCACTTTGGGAGACTGAGGCAGGAGGATTGCTTGAGCTCGGAAGTTCAAGACCAGCCTAGGCAACATGATGAAACCCTGTCTCTACAAAAAATACAAAAAAAATAAACTGGGTGTTGTGGGTGCACCTGTAGTCCTGGCTACTCCTGAGATTAAGGCAGAAGGATTGCTTGAATGCAGAAGATGGAGGCTACAGTGAGCTTTGAGCATACCACTGCACTCCAGCCTGGGCAACAGAGTGACACCCTGTCTCCAAAACAAATAAATAAATAATTAAAAGACTGATTAATAAATTATATCATTAGCCACAATCTTTTGATGAAATAAATGAAGGTTCCAACAAGAAAATTTGTCAATAGAAGAATGTAAGAGAATTGTCCACCGGATTCTTCTTTCCCTTCATGGTATTCTGACCTTAGCTCTGTGTGTGTGTGTGTGTGTGTGTGTGACTGTGGGATCATATATAACAATAGTTATGTAAACAACAATCGGTTATTTTAAATCAGTTACTAAGAATAAACTTTAATGATGAACTGCAAAATGAATATTGAAAGCTCTACTAATTAGGAGTGTATAGTACTCCAAAGAATATCTGTGTCCACAGAGACAGTGTGAACGTCTGGAGTTTCAAGCAGTTAAGCAACTCCAAGGCCTCACAAAACACCAAAATCAAGACCAACATGATGTCAGCTCCCTGCAGCTCTAATGCCATGGACAACATTGCTAGTCTCAGAGGTCAGATGGCAGGTGTTATGAGTGGTGGGTCACTCTGTGGAGCAATAAACTCTAAACTTCAGCAAGCAATTCTACAGACTTAGGCAGAAGCCTGCGACTCCATTGTAAAGTGGAGCAGGTTGTAGGGAGCTCAGAGAAAGGAGGGAAGATGGAAAGCCCTAGTATCAACTGAACTAGGGTCATGGATGAGAAACACCCTTGTGAGACTCTCCCACAAAATAGGGAAGTCCTGGGGGCAAGGTCCTCCCTGTGCTGAACGGGAAGCTCCCTGGCATGGCCTTCTGTGTCCCACCAACAGCGTGTCGGTCGTGAGCCTCACGTGCTCTCTGGAAAAACCTGCCAAAGAGGACGATATCAGGAAGGTGGTGAAGCAGGCATCAGAGGGCCAGTCAGGGCATCCCGGGCTACACTGAGCACCAAGTCGTCTCCTTGGACTTTAACAGTGATGCCCACTCTTTCACCTTCGATGCCGGAGCTGGCATTGCCCTCAATGACCACTTACTTTGTCAAGCACATTTCCTGATACAATGAATTTGGTTACAGCAACAGGTTGATGGACCCCATTGCCCACATGGCCTCCAAGGAGTAAGACCCCTGGACCACCAGCCCAGCGAGAGCACGAGAGCCAGAGAGAGGCCCTCACTGCTGGGGAGTCCCTGCCCCACTCAGCCCCACCACACTGAGAATCTCCCCTCCTCATGGTTCCCACGCAGACCCCCTGAAGAGGGAGCTGCCTAGGGACCCCCACCTTGTTGTGTACCATCAATAAAGCCCCCTGTGCTCAGCCAAAAAAAAGGATAGGGAAGGTTTGCTCCCAGGAAATCTCTGCCAGGCCTCGCCTACGTGGCTATGTGGAAGCGGCCAAGGTTGTCAGGGAGCTCGGCAGCTCAGCAGTGCTGTTTTATGAAAACAGGGCAATTTGAAAGAGTTTTAATCCTTCCTTTTTATCCCCTTCCTCCCTTTCTTCCTCCCCCTTTCCCACAGGTACAATATTCATTGAATTGTAAGTGTTCTGGATAAAGCAGTGAGCCAGAGTTCTAAAGGAGGAGAAACAGTAAACAAAGAATGTAAACAATATAAGTTGTCAGATGATTCAATGCACTACAGAAACAAAGCAGGGGAGGCCGGGTGCAGTGGCTCATGCCTGTAATCCCAGCACTTTGGGAGGCTGAGGTGGGTGGATCACTTGAGGTCAGGTGTTCAAGACCAGCCTGGCTAACATGGTGAAACCCCATCTCTACTAAAAATACAAAAATTAGCTGGGCGTGGTGGCGCACACCTGTAGAACCAGCTACTCAGGAGGCGGAGGCAGGAGAATCGCTTGAACCCGGGAGGTGGAGGTTGCAGTCAGCTGAGATCCTGCCACTGTGCTCCAGCCTGGGTGATAGAGTGTGACTTTGTGTCAGAAACAACAACAAAAACGAAAAAGCAGGGAAGAGAAGAGGGTGCTGGGATGGGTGATAAAAGACATGACAGATGAGCAAAAGACTTGCAGGAGCAGAAGCACTGAGCCAGGCCGACCCTGGAAAGAGTTCTGAGATAGAGACGGGCGAGCAGGAGTGTGATGAGCCTGTTAGAATAGCCAAAAGGCCAAGTGGAGCTGGTGAGAATAACAGAAGACGGAGCGAGATGACCAGAGGCTCACAGACCAGACTAAAGCTATTTCTTGTCTCAAAGGCTTCCTGGATGTGTTGCCACATAGGCTGAGTCTTGAAGAAGGAGTTGGCTAGTTATGAAAGTGGGAAAAGAAGCTGGGTGCAGTGGCTCATGCCTGTAGTCCTAGCACTTTGGGAGGCCAAGGCAGGTGGGTTACTTGAAGTCAGGAGTTCAAAATCAGCCTGGCCAACATGGTGAAACTCTGTCTCTACTAAAAATACAAAACTTAGCAGGCATTGTGGTGCGCACCTGTCATCCCAGCTACTCAGGAGGCTGAGGCAGCAGAATCGCTCGAACCTGGGAGGTAGAGGTTGCAGTGAGCGGAGATCGCGTCACTGAGCTCCAGGCTGGGCGGCAGAGCGAGACTCCATCTCAAAAACAAAAAATAAGAAGAAAATAAGTGGGGAAAGGGTGTTCCAGACAGTGGAGTGGCAAGTATCTACAAACCTGGAGAAAGTGAACTTGAATTCCTTCAGTTACCTGGGGTAGAGCGTCCATGCCGGTGGGAAGAAAAGCAGCGAGAGATGTGGCTGAAGAGGTCAGCAGGACCTGGGCCATCCTGGAGGACCACATGTATTATTCAGAGAAGGAGAGCTAAATTACCCGTGCAGACAAGAGAGCAAAACCAACCCCACAGCCCTTACATCAACATGGTGCTGAGAATTAAGGATCAGATCGGGGTGTGTGCCTTTTTTTCCAGGTAATTGAATTTTTTAAAAAATATTTTTTTCCAGGTAACTGTTCATCTTGACAGTACTAAAGATTTAACGAAACCTCTATCAGAATCCCAATGGATGTTTCTTTATAGACAAAGAAAAATCTATTCTGAAACTTATGCTATGGATTTTATTTTATTTTTATTTTTATTTTCTGAGACAGAGTCTCGCCCTGTTGCCCAGGCTAGAGTGCAGTGGCGCCATCTTGGCTCACTGCAACCCCCCCTCCCAGGGGAAGGTTGTTTGAAGGCAGCTTCAAGCAATTCTCCCTGCCTCAGCCTCCCAAGTAGCTGGGACTGCAGATGCCCACCAGCACACCCAGCTAATTTTTGTATTTTTAGTAGAGACGGAGTTTCGCCACGTTGGCCTGGCTGGTCTTGAACCCCTGACCTCAAGTTATCCACCCACCGCGGCTTCCCAAAGTGCTGGGATTACAGGTGTGAGCCACTGCGCCTGGCCCTTTCTCGCGTCTTCAGACAAGACACTCATGGCTTGTCAATGAGATGGGGAATGGCAACACAGGAGAAGAAAATACTTTCAAAAGAGGTCTTTAAAGAAGATTCTGGATTTAGAGAAGAAAGCAGAGGACAATGTAGCATCCATCCCTCACCTCTTCCGTTTTTTTGTTTTTTTTTTTTTGAGACGGCGGTTGGCGGGGGGGCGGCTCAACCAATTCTCTTGCCTCAGCCTCTCGATTATCTGGGATTACAGGTGCGCACCACGACGCCCAGCTAATTTTTAGTAGAGACAGGGTTTCACCATGTTGGCCTGGATGGTCTCCATCTCTTCACCTTGTGATCTGCCGGCCTCGGCCTCCCAAAGTGCTGGGATTACATGCGTGTGCCACCGCGCCCGGTCCTCCTCTTCTGGTTTCTTTTTTCTTTTTTCGAGACAGAGTCTCCTCTGTCACCAGGTGCCAGGCCAGAGTGCAGTGGTGTGATCTCGGCTCACTGCAACCTCCGCCTTCCGGGTTCAAGCAGTTCTCCTGCCTCAGCCTGCCGAGTAGCTGGGACCACAGGTGCATGCCACCATGCCCAGCTAATTTTTGTATTTTAGTAGAGACGAGGTTTCACCATGTTGGCCAGGATGGTCTCGATTTCTTGACATCGTGATCCGCCCGCCTCGGCCTCCCAGGGTGCTGGGACTATATGCGTGAGGCACTGCGCCCGGCCGCCTCTTCCGGTTTCTTATGGCGTTGATAAGGCCAGAATGTCTCAGCTGAAGATATGGACTGACCTCAGCGCAGTATTTCCCGCTGAAACACCACGGACAGGATTCTGCCCCGCAGCCAGGGCTAGGCTAAGAGAGGAAGCACTGGCTGCGCTGAAGCTGCTGCTGGCCTCAGTACCCCACTAGACATTTCCCATCTTCCAGGACTTCAAACACAAACTGCCCAGTAGGTTTTTCCAACATTTTGCTTTTTGTCCTTTACTTGGAAATGCATTGATTTCACCACGAAAATATTTGTGAGCAGAGAAAAAAAGATTTTCATGAAAAAGCAAATATTTTAAAAATGTAGCTGTATGCAAAAACAAGCTGAAAGTTTGCTCGCTGCATTGTTGTGCGTTCAAGCTCAGTCCTTTGCCGACATTGAGTTTCTTTTTTCCCCGGGTCATCCTTCTTCACCAATGCTCCTATTCACGCGAAGTGTCGGAAATGAGCTCCTCGAAAGACCAGCCGATTTGGTTCCAGTCCTTTGGAAATGTGATAAAATGCAAGTCACAACTGTATTCGGTGTGTCTGCAGACTTGGAGTGACAGTGAGTCTGTTCCCCTGGAAAACTGGATCAAATTGAATAGGTGTTCAGTCCTGTGCCTTTACCATAATTAAAAACGAGTTAGGCTGGTTGCAGCATGTGTCCAGAATTTAGAAGTTTTTGCTTTATAAAGAGGAGAAAAGGTGCAAACCGCAGGCTGCTTTCACTCATGATAACCAGCCTAGAGGCAGCATGGGGGAGACGCATACGTCATTCACATTTCTAGGAATAAGGGACAGGAGGGAAGTATGTATAAAGAAGGAATCTTGTGCTTTGGGAGGCCGAGGCGGGAGGATTGCTTGAAGTCAGGAGTTCGAGACCAGCCGGGGCTACTTAGCGAGACCCCACCCCTTAAAAAATTTATATACATGTTTATATTTATTTATATTTCTAATTTATAAAAGTGTTCATTTATAAAATTTTAAATATATATTTTACATATATATAAAATTTTTAGAGGAAAAAAATAATATATATATACCTAGCAAGACCCCTCATTTCTCTTAAAAAAGTATATATATGTTTTTGATTTATGAAATTTTAATTTATAAAATTTTAAATATATATTTATATATATATTAAAAAATTTTTTTTATTACACATATAATTTAAGAGAGTTGGGGGGTCTCTCTACACATATATTTATTTTTAAGAAGGCATTCCAAAAACAAAACAAAACAAAACAAAACAAGGCATTCCAGGGGAGGCCTGTGCCCTGGGGAGAGCTCCCTGGGTTTCCTGTAAAGAATCTCTTAAGAAAGAATAGAAGAGCGAGCCAAGAGCGGAGGGGAGAACTCATTTAAATTCTCTCCTCTTCGCCTTCCCAGTTGCACCCTGGGGAATCCGGCTGGCGGCGCGGCTCACAGCCCAGCTCCGCCCCCGCGCCTGCGACCAATGGGAGGCGGCCGGGCCGGGAGCGCGACCAATGGCAGCGGCCGGCGGAGACGCGGCGCTTTAAGAAGCAGCGGGTGCGGGAGGGGCCGAGTGCCGGGGCCGCGGCGGCGGCAGCAGCAGCATCGCGGTCGATGCTACCATGGCCCTGCAGGTACCCGGGACTTGGGGAGGCCGGGCGGGAGGGACGCTCCGCGAGGGATTGCTCAAGTGGGGCTCGGGGTGGGCGTGGCGCCCCCCCCCCAGCGCTCGGCAGTGACCCGGGGAACACTCCCGCTGCTCCCCTAGCGCCCCCATGACAGTGTAGACGGCACCTGTGCCTGCTGACGACTAGCCTGGGCTCCCAGGGCAAACCTTCCGGACCCCAGGGGCCAGTGAGCTACCGTGAGCGAAAAAGCAGGCTAGGCACTAACGCCGGGGAGCACGGAGCCGGCCTCCTCCGCCCTCCTCTCTCAGTCTCTTAGAGGGAGTCGAGATCACTGGGTCTCACCCTCCCCACCAGCCAGCCCCCTTGCTCTTTGGGATCTCCAGGACTTCTTTTAGTGTCATACTGAGCAGAAGAGATCTGTGAAGCTCCGATTTAAAAATGCTATTTTACTGGTATGTTAAAAAAAAATTGTTGAGGGCGAAAAACTTTGGAAAAGATAATAAAGTAAATGATCATCATCAGGAATTCCTTCACCCAGACAATAACCACTGCTGATATTGTGGGGTCATTCCTAGTATGTCCTGGTATGGTTTTTCCCATGTGTGTCTGTGTATGACGTATGTCTACATATATACCTATGATGTTATTGTGTGTATATATAGTAAGACACGACAGTAATAGAGGTAGTTTCTCATCTTTAAATATTCTAAAATATAACTTTTTTTTTTTTTTTTTTTTTTTTTTTTTACTCTGTCACCCAGGCTGGAGGGCATTTGGTGCGATCTCCACTCATTGCAACCTCCACCTCCCGGGTTCAAGCCATTCTCGTGTCTCAGCCTCCCCAGTAGCTGGGATTACAAGCACACGCGACCAGGCCCATCTAATTTTTGTTTTTGTTTTTGTTTTTATTTTTTTGAGACAGAGTCTCGTTCTGTCACCAGGCTGGAGTGCGGTGGTGTGATCTCGGCTCACTGCAACCTCCATCTCCTGGGTTCAAAGAATTCTCGTATCTCAGCCTTCCCAATAGCTGGGATTACAGGCATGTGCCGCCGCTTCTGGTTATTTTTTTCTATTTTTAGTGGAGATGGGGTTTCTTTTTCTGTTGTTGTTTGGAGATGGGATTTTACTGGGTTAGCCAGACTGGTATCCAACTTCTCACCTCAAGTGATCTGCCCGCCTTAGCCTCCCAAAGTGCTGGGATTACAGGCTTGAGCCACCATGCCTGGCCTCTAAAATGTAATCTTTTACATGCACAAAATTTCATAGAAAGAACATGGCTCACTTCTTTAATGGTTTCAATCAGGCAAGATACTATCTTGGGTAAAAGTTATAATACATACTCCAGGGTCATCTGCGTTCAAATCTGTGCCTCACTTCTGCTTAGCCTGTGACATAGTTAATCTCTCCGTGCTTCAGTTTCTTTAGAAATGGAGGAGACATATATTAAATGAGTTATATGTATAACGCATTTAAAGCAATGTCTAGCATGTGGTAAAACTTCAATTAGGATAAGCTCATGATGGCACATTGAGTACGTTTTGAGACAGGGTCTCACTCTGTCACCCAGGCTGGAGTGCAATGACTGGAACTTGGCTCACTGCAGCCTCGACCCCCTGGGCTCAGGCAATCCTGCCACTTCAGCGTCCCAAGTAGCTGGGACAACAGGCACCCACCACCATACCTGTCTAATTTCTTTTTTTCTTTTCTTTTCTTTTTTTGCTTTCCCCAGCCAATCATACTGTTTGCAAGCCCAGTCTTCGTTTGCACAGAGGTGTAACTTTGTGACTTCACTTTAGCCTCTGGTTGCTGGCCACTATTCATGTAGGATGCACTCCCAGTAACCAATGGAAACCTCTGGAGGGTATTTAAGCCCCAGAATATTCTCTTGAGCCCCTTTGCTCGGCCAGCTCCCATCCTGTGGAGTGTACTTTCACTCTCTGTAAATCTGTTTTTGTTGCTTCATTCTTTCCTTGCTTTGTTTGTCCATTCTGTCCAATTTTTTGTTCAAAACGCCAAGAACTTGGACACTTTCCACTGGTAACAAGAATGTTTTGGAATTCAATGTACTAGCTCTGTATTTAAAGCTGCATCTCACCTATGAAAACTTTCTGATCCCCCTAAAGTCTGCTTGCTCATTAACCATCCAACAGGGATGTGCTTAATAGACTCAGACCAGGCTCACTCGACCCGCCAGCCGTCCGTGAGACCTTGTGGGTGCTGCCAAGGTGATTATTTATTGATTATTTATGAGTATTTGTGATTATTATTTATTTATGAGTATTTGTGTTACCCCACACAGCCTTTATGTTGAGCTCTAGTAAGTTCTGTCCATATTGCTGGGAGCAGCTTTCCCTGCCCCTCTGCACCCAACAAACACAGACCCAACCCCCCCAGCACAATCTCCATCTTATCTCAGGGGTGGCTTTTTCCGTACCTTCCCCCCGTGCAACCTCCTCTGTGTTCCAGAGCAACTGCTGCCTCTTATTTCTAGCAAGTCCCATGTGGCCCCCGTTGCCCTGTTCATCTCCCGACAGGCTATAAGCCTTCAAGCAAACTGCCTTGTTCATTCTAGGCTGCCTGTCAAAGGCCTGGCCTATCAGAGTTGTTCAGTAGGTTTGCTAATTAGTATGAGATGTGAGATGAGCTCTGGGAGGGCAGAGTCCATAGAACCAAATAAAAAATATTTAACATTCTTGGCCAGGTGTGGGGGCTCACGCCTGTAATCCCAGCACTTTGGGAAGCCAAGGCAGGCAGATCACTTGAAGTCAGGAATTCGAGACCAGCCTGGCCAACATGGCAAAACCCCATCTTTATTAAAAATACCAAAAAAATTAGCCAGGCGTGGTAGCTCGTGCCTATAATCCTAGCTACTTGGGAGGCTGAGGTGGGAGGATCACTTGAACTAGGAGGCAGAGGTTGCAGTGAGCCATGATTGTGCCACTGTACTCCTGCTTGGGTAACAGAGCAAGCCTCTGTCTCAAAAACAAAAAACAAAAAAACTGTGTTCTTAATCATCCTTAACCCCAGCACCTTCCCACTGAGCCTGACACTATCTTTTTGTGGCGGAAGCTGCATCTCGGAGGAGCTTTGTTTCTTGCGTGGAGTCCCCGGGCAGAGTGCCTCAAAGCTGCTAGTGAAACCTGAGTATCCTGGCCAAGGCCAGTGTTGTTTCTACTCCAGCTCATCATGGCTGCGATGGGAAAGGCCTCCTGCAGGAAGGCGAATCAGAACAGCCCCTCAAGGCAGGAATGTATTGTGTTGAGGTGCCAGAACCAGACAGGCTGAGCAGAGAGAATGATACTGGCCACTGCTCTAGAACTGGGTTCCTCCCTACCTGGGGAGGGAGAAAGAGCAGGGACCCCTGAAATGGCATGGGAAACTGTGTCAGGGCTTAGTTCTTCTGTACAGAGGGTCCAAGACTTTCATTAGGTATTTTCTCTCTCTCTCTCTGTCTCTCTCTCTCTCTCTCTTTTCTTTTTTTGTTTGAGATGGAGTCTTGCTCTGTCACCCAGGCTGGAGTGCAGTGGCAGGATCTTGGCTCACTGCAACCTCCACTGTTGGGTCCAAGCTATTCTCCTGCCTCAGCCTCCTGAGTAACCAGGATCACAGGTGTGTGCCACCACCCTCACCTAAATTCTTGATTTCACCATGTTGGCCAGGCTGGTCTTGAACTCCTGACCTCAAGTGATCCACCTGCCTTAGCCTCCCAAAATGCTGGGATTACAGGCATGAGCCACTGCACCCAGCCTCATATGGTTTTCAAAGAAGGCTTAGAATTCTAATTAAGGCTTGGCACATAAAAGGAGTGGAGCTGCTGTCATTGGAATATAATGTGAGACTTTACAGCAAACAGAACACCTGAGATGGCCCAGAAACCTGCAGATGAAGGTCCTCCACCCCTTCTGAATAGCCTTGTCCCAGAAGCCCTGGCCACTCATGTGGCCTTTTAATTTTGTTCTTATTGTAAACATAATCCGTGCACATTATAGAAAATTTGGAGAGTACAAAAACATTTTAAAACTACGTAACTTACCAATAATCAGAGACTATTACTATTTACATATGTTTAGTATACCTCTTTCTAGTCTTTATTTTTTTCTATACAACTTACAAAGCTGAGTGTATAAAAAGAATTTGTGTTCTTTGCTAAACCATAAACTAAAACTTAAAGTATTTCCTTTGTTTTTTTTTTTGTTTTTT